ACCATAGGGAAAAAGAAAATCAGTGAAAAAATAAAGTTGGAGGTAAAAGAGTGAAGAATTTGAAGAAGTTTATATCTATTCATTGGTCCTGGTTATGTTCAGGAAAGTACGCAAAGTCATGAGCTAAGACTGAGGAGACAGAATTTAAAAAGGAAGATCAGTATGCAGTTAGCTCTGAAAGAATCAGTGATCAACCTGTATATGGGTGTGCAAACAGCGTTTGGTGCTTGAAGGGGAGTGGCCCATAAAATAAAGCACTGGATGGTAAGCCACAATGCCTATGATTTGAGCCCACCAGCTGTTCCATGTTAGACGATGACACTTTCTGCTCCTGCACAGATTTTTTTTTTTTTAAAAGCCTTGGAAACTCTAGACAGGATCCTATGAGTTGGAACCGACTCAAAGGCACTTAACAACAACAAAAACAATATTCAAACAAAAGAGAAAAAGCAGAGGCATTGTAAAAGTTACTGTTTTTCAGTAATTCAATTTTTTGGACAAGTCTTCAAATAGCAAGGTCTACTAAATCAGAATAAAGTCAGCCTAAGAAAATGCACCAAGTATTTCCAAATGGATCTATGATTCCCACTGTTTCGACTATGTAATGAAAATACCCTCCAGTTGCATACTTGTAAATAATAGTAATGATCTAGAATCAGCACCAAAGAATTGCTCTGTTTATTCCCTGAAGGATATTTTTTTTGTTGGGCAGGAATGTGAGTTGACTTAAGAGTCACTAGGACAAATACTGCTGTAGCTTTGATACTAGTCCTCTGTTCCCCTTGGGTAGGCCATTTCCCCTGTAAACTGAACTCTGAAAATCTTCTCCTCCAAATCAATTCCTTTCTTTTTCCAGGTATCTTCTCACCCTTTACAAAGATTTGGCTGATCAAGAAAATAAGAGGATACATGTCCAAATCACCCAGGCAGGCTTGTCATGTGAGAGGAATTAAAATGTGCCTGGAGACAAATATTCTTAGGAGCAAGGTAAACGAAATTAAGGTCTGCTTTAAATCATCTTTATTGCTTTAAAATAAAGTGATGAGAAGTACTGTTAAAACAGCTGTGTGCATTCATAAAGATGTGCTGAATGTGGTGAGATTATATGATTGTGTTCTCCTTTCACCTTATTTGTATTTTCTAGTATTTCTACATTCATCCAATAACTATAGAATTTTTAAATGAATAAATTAATATTGTTTCTAAGGGGGAAAAAAGAATTGCACTCCAAATGTGCTTCATTTTCTTCCAAAAACTCATGAAAAATAGATGAAGTAGGTTTGATGGTCCTTCTGATAAAATGATAGTATTCATACTTCCCCACACTCTTTAATTTGGTCTGTTTAATAATTCAAATGAAAATCCAGTATATATATCATGAAGCAAATTACACAGTGTCCTACTTCATCTCCCGATAAAGTATGAAAAAATTGTTTTTAAAAGCAATAAACTAGCTATGATTTTTATTTTAATATACTAAAACGAGATGACTTAAAAGATGCCTCCAAACATTACTTCTTTCAGTTCAATTTTCCAATAAAACAGGCTCCATAATAAAATAACTTCAAATAAATGTCACATTACACTGTTAGCTGCTGTAGAACAATGTGTATGAATATAAATGAGTATGTTGTTGCAAAGTGCTGTTAAGTGCCATCAAGTAGCATCCGACTCATAGTGACCTGTGTAGGGTTTCCAAGGAGCGGCTGGTGAGTTGGAACCACTGACCTTGTGGTTCAAACTGACCTTGCAGTCCAGTGCTTTATAACAGAGTGCCAACACTAGGACCCCTTATGATGTTGTTGTTGTTGTTAAGTGTCTTTGAGTTAGTTCTGACTCATAGCAAACCTGTATAGGGTTTCCGAGGAACGGCTGGTGACCCTTATGGTAGTGGTGGTTATGTGCCGCGGAATCAGTTCCAACTCAGTGACCCTGTACAGGGTTTCCAGGGCTGTAAATCTTTGTAAAGCCTCATCTTTCTCCTGTGAAATGGCTGGTAGTTTTGTGCTGCCAACCTTGAAGTTAGCAGCCCAACTCGTAACCACTATGCTACCAGAGCTCCTTGTTGTTGTTGTTATGTGCCATGGAGTCGGTTCCTACCCATAGCGACCCTGAACAGGGTTTCCAAGGCTGTAAATCTTTATGGGAACAGAAAGCCTCATCTTTCTCCCACGGAGCAGCTGGTAGTTTCGAACCGCTGACCTTGAGGTTCACAGTCCGATTCATAACCACTACACTACCAGAGCTCCTTATAGAGAGGGGAGGGTAAAAAGAGGCTGTGTTAAAGGGTCACAGAAATTAGCAGCTTCTTCTCATTACAGACTGCTACTGAATTGGAGTAATTTTTCTTTAAGTAAAGGAAATAGGAGAATCATTTAATTAGATTTTATAGGAAATCTTCTACAGTGTAAACTACAGTATAATGAGAAATGAAACCTATATCAAACAAAATTGGTGCATCCTTAGAGTGGAATTGATGTCTAGGAGATTAACCAAATATACTAGTCTTCTACTTTCAAGCAACACACTCAAGGCAGGAATGATACCAAGTTGAATCACCAAATACAACATTCTTTTTTTGCTAAGATTTACAGCATCAGAAACTCTAGACAGGTTCGCTCTGAGTCAGAATCAGCTAGGTGGCAGTGGGTTTGGTTTTTGGTTAGAATACATAAAGCTCAATTTACACATGCACCGATGTCACAAAGACCACATTTAGAACCATAAAACTTAAGAACTAAAATAGCTTAAAAGGTAACCATTTGAAGGAAATATTCTCAGATGAGCAGACTACCTTCAATATGCTCAATAAAATACATAAGTAATTTAAACTACTTGGAGTATATGTTAGTTGTAAGCCATCTCAGTCATCGAAAAATAACCAAAGTAATCCAACTCAGTTCTATTCACAGTAGTGCTATATACAACTATACACCACATGTGCTATTGCTGTTTAGCAATTATTTATAACTGTGGCATTGTTGACTGCTAGCCACAAAGTCAGCAGAGTTCAAACCCATAGGCCGTTCCTCAGAAACCCTATGTATGGTTGCTATGAGTCAGAAATGACTCCATGGCACTTAACAACAACGAGAGGTTAAAGGATACAATACATTCTATTTATATAGTATAATCATATAGAAGATAATGTATTTTTGTAATGAAAAAATATTGTCAGAAAATATCTTCAAATAGGCATCACTGTGAGTGAAAATTAGAAGACAAAGCAAGAGCTTTTCTTTTTCCTCCCAAAATAGCACTTACATTGTTGTTGTTAAGTGCCATTGAGTCAGTTCTGATAGCAATCCTGTATGGGGTTTCTAAGGAGCAGCTGGGATATGACACATCAAGTATTGAAAATAGTCATGATTTTCTTTCACAAATTTTCTTTCATTTGAAGGTCCAAGAAACACTGCAACTTTCATATAAAGACAAGTGTCACTCATTTATTGACAGAATTCACCTCTGACTCCTGAATGAACACGGTCAGGTTCACCCATGGAAAGCCAGTCCTGTTCATTCTGCATGGCCGCAGGGTAAGGTGAGGATAGGGCAAGGATAGTGTGCATGGAAGAGAGCTGAAAGTACGTAGTGGTCACAATGCATGTGCTGGGACCACAGAACATGGGTTGGGATTCATGTTTCCAATTAACAGTATATCCTTGGGAAAGTTACTTCATTGATCTGCTTCTCAGTTTCTGTCATCCAAAGAATGAGGATAGTATGAGAATCTATTTTAGGAAGTAGTTTAGATATTATAGTGAATCAATACAAGACAGTATAGCCATCCCACCATATTATAAGCCCTGGTGTGATGCTATAGGATAAGCACTGGACTGCCTTGTGCTTAACCTACAGCACTTATCCTACATATATGTGTATATGGAATCCTGGTGTGGATCAGTGGTTCAAACCCACCGGCTGCTCCTAGGAAACCCAATACATGAATCAGGACCAGCTCAACGGCACATAACAACAATATATGTAAAACAGCAAAAAGTTTTAGCCTTCAACGAAATCCCAACTAATCTCCTTTCCCATTTTACATTAGAGGTTAAAGAGATGTAAAGAATACTGATACAAGTATGCATTAGCTTAATGAAGTATTACTCCCTCAAAACTCCAAGCTGGGGGTGGGGGGCAAGAAAAGAAGAAACAAAAACTAATCATTTGTTGATATTTAAATTACACTCAAGAAAAGCATTAAGCACACTTCACATACTAACCCTGTTGTTGTTTTTAATGCCGTCGAATCAATTCTGACCCATAGCGACCCTGTAATAGGGTTTCCAAGGAGCAGCTGGTGAGCTTGAACCAATGACCTTGAAGTTCAAACGGCTTTGCAGTCTAGCATATTAACCCACAGCGCCACACCAGGACTAACCCTGGCAATGGATAAAACTGTTTTTCTGTCCTAATGTAATTTTGTAATCAGATAATTTATAATGGTAGGATACTGTTTTACCTACAAAGGAATTGATTAAACACAGATTTATAATAATGGCATTATTAACCAAGGAGGAGGTGGAGGGAGGCAAGCAATAACGCCTGTAACAAGCACGCATTTCAACCTAATGCAATTACTTTTTAAAATGTTAAGCACAGTATGTTTTCAGGTTCATAACCGTCTGAGAAATCAAGCTTGCAACCTTCCCTGGAAAGCAGAGCTCCATTACTTGATCTCCACCTGGACTTATCATTTATTTGCATGGAAAATAAAATACAAGAACAACCACACAAAAAAAGCCAAGTTAAACAGCATCGACTAATTCTATGGCAGGTTTTGATAAAACGCCTCAAGATTTTAAATAGCTTTTTAAAGATGACTTCTCACCCATCCTCTTTCCACATTTCGCAGGAAATAAAAGCAGAAGTTCTAAAAATGACCAGACAGAAATACAAAGTGTCTGCATAGCTTTGACACCACAGTGCTTGAAGGTAATCTCTGACTGTGAAGCCTTCTTCTACTCTCTCTCTCCTTCTTTCTCTCTAGAATACTTAAGACTGTACTGATGAAAGCTCAGCAAGTCCTCTATCATAAAGAGCTTGACATCTAAACTTTGAAAATTAAAGGAAAAAACTAGATGCTACTCTGCAGGTTGCATTAATTACTACTTACTGGATATATTCAAATCCTTCAGGATTCCCAAAGGAACCAGGTAACTTTGCATCTAGAAGTACTGGGCAACTCTATGTTTTACGCTTGATGTGTAAATTTCCTTTTAATTTTTTTCTTTAAAAATGGAAAGCTTTTCATAACAATAACAGTAATGCAAGCATGTATTTGGAGTAAAAATTAAATTACAAGCCAGATTTATGGTGTTAAAAACAACCATTAAATACTTCATTAACAAAAAGGATTTAAGAGCATGAATGTAAAATACAGTGTCTTACTTAATCGTAAAAGTGTACCATAAATAAAACTACTATCTAGATAGAGCTAAAATTCAAAATGACCAGAATACTTGTTAAAGAAGTTAGTGTCTGCTCCAAATGAGCATTTCTCCAAAACAGAATGTCCAAAACTGTCAGAGAATGAACAAATAGCAGCAAATAGGGAAGTATAAAGTTAGTGATCTTGTATCAACAGAAAATGTATTTTGCTTAGTTTTTTAGAAGTTAACCCAGGTGAGGAGGTTTTGAGAATTGAAGCCATGCTTGTGATAACATGATTTTTGCTTTACATTAATAACTGAAGAAGAGGGGCAAAGTATTCCATTGGCGTTTGGGGGAATTTAGTGTTCTCCTTACTCCTCCTGGAGCTCAGGTGGCAAAGTGGTTCAAGCACACAGTTGCTTATAACTAAAGTCAGTGGTTTGTCCCTCCAGCTGCTCTGCAGGAGAAAGATGTATCAGTCTGCTTCTGTAAAAATTAGTCTTGGAAATCTGAAGAACACAGTTCTACTTGAAGGGACACATATATATATATACATATTGTTTGTCATATTTCAAACCCACCAGCTGCTACTCGGAAACCATATACAGGTTCACTATGAGTCAGGAAACACTTCACAGCACTTAATAACACATGAAAAGTTGTTTTAAATGATTATTTAGATATGTGTACTATCAACCTTATTGCATCTAATTATTTTATGTAGAATCAATTTAATCAGTCCTTGATAAAACAAAATAGATCAAGGTTTTTATTTCAAATTTCAAATCTTAGATACCAGATATATTCCGGATACCTTTTTGTTTTCTGTATAGTTGTCTATTGTGGTAATAACCTACAAAACCAAAGACATGATTTTGCTGTTTTATTTTAGCTGTAATTATATGCTTCATCATCTAGAAAGCACGCCCCAACTGTTTTAAAGAGTGCCACATGATTGTTTTATTGCTTTAAAACTACATTCATGATAGTTAAGAAAATGTATATAAAAACTCCAAATTTTAGATGGTCTCTATTGAGAATGAAATATCTACAGGTAATAATATTTTCCAGTATTGAATGAGCCAGTAAACTGATTTCTGGAGGGTGACTGAGCAAAACAGAGGCAAGAGTATCTCACAACTATGCATAAAACTATTTTTATTCAGCATATTATTTATTTAGCAATAAATTCACCAAGACCAATTTTACACCAACGTCTTTTCACTCTTTGTTTTAAAATTCTAGGAAAGCAGTTATCAGTCTTTCCATAGAGGAATGGATTAGTAGTACCAGAATAAATGAGTATCACCGATGGGGATGGTGTAGGAAACATGAGTGCATAGCACAACTGAGCTGGACTGCAAAGTCAGTTTGAACTTCAAGGATGGCAGTCCAAGCTCACCAATCGCTCCTCAGAAACCCTATACAAGGTCGCTGTGGGTCAGAACCCACTCAACAGCACTTAACAACAACAACTTATGAAGTGAAGGTAGAGAAGACTGAAACATGGTCCAAATATTTTCATTCTATTATTGATGCATAAATGTAGGTGGGCTCTTGTCTAAGATAAAAAATGTATTGTGAGAGGCAAACATCTGACAAATAACAAGAACTACAAAGCATCCATGCCTTTGTGAACTCACCTAAGACTGTTATGCTTGGCTTGAGATAGAATATTTACTAAAATGGACTATTATAAGGTTAGTTTTCTGTGCTCCTACTAACTGCCACGTAATGATCATAAACAGCAATTTTTAGAGAAGGCTATGTCCAAAAATGTGACATGAAGAGATAACAGCAAAATCAGCTACCTGTTCCTGAAAATAACCATTCTCTCCCTCTTTCTCTAGGTACCAAAGAAGAAATGCAAGCCATGGACAACTTCACTGCTGCGGCTGGTAATGGCAGTCTGTGCACCCGAGATTACAAAATCACCCAGGTCCTCTTCCCGCTGCTCTACACCGTCCTGTTTTTCACTGGACTGATCACAAACAGCCTAGCAATGAGGATTTTCTTTCAAATTCGCAGTAAATCCAACTTCATTATTTTCCTTAAGAACACAGTCATTTCTGATCTTCTCATGATTCTGACTTTTCCATTCAAAATCCTTAGTGATGCTGAACTGGCGGTGGGATCGCTGAGAACCTTTGTGTGCCAAGTTACCTCCGTTATATTTTATTTCACAATGTATATCAGTATCTCATTCTTAGGACTGATAACGATTGATCGCTACCAGAAGACAACCAGGCCATTCAAAGCATCCAGCTCCAACAATCTCTTGGGAGCTAAGGTACTTTCTATTGTCATCTGGGCTTTCATGTTCTTACTCTCTTTGCCTAACATGATTCTGACCAACAAGAGGCCAAGAGACAAGAATGTGAAGAAATGCTCTTTCCTTAAGTCAGAGTTTGGCCTGGTCTGGCATGAAATAGTCAACTATATCTGTCAAGTCATTTTCTGGATTAACTTTTTAATTATCATTGTATGCTACACACTCATTACAAAAGAACTGTACAGGTCATATGTAAGAACAAGGGGAGTGGGCAAAGTCCCCAGGAAAAAGGTGAATGTCAAAGTTTTCATTATCATTGCTGTGTTTTTTATTTGTTTTGTGCCTTTCCATTTTGCCCGAATTCCCTATACTTTGAGTCAAACCCGGGATGTCTTTGATTGCTCTGCTGAGAACACACTATTCTATGTGAAAGAGAGTACTCTGTGGTTAACGTCCTTGAATGCATGCTTGGATCCATTCATCTACTTTTTCCTTTGCAAGTCCTTCAAAAATTCCTTGATGAATATGTTGAAGTGCCCCAATTCAGGAATACCTCCAGCCCAAGTGAACAGGAAAAAAGGACAGAGTGATGGTGACACAGCTGATGAAACGCCACTTTGAACAAATGAACGGGGGATATCTTCCAATGTGTGAGTGTTCCGAACTCCTAACAGTAAAGCACTATATAAAATTATCAACACCGACTAAGAAGTGGTTGAGTTAATAACAAAGACTCTGGAAACAACCAGTAGAAGACTACAAAGTAATTTTCACTTACATTTGCAGTAGAAAAGCTTTCTTAAAATGTAGAATCACACCAGCATGTAGCTGTGTAGAACAAACTGTAGCCAACTGCCATGCCCCACATGCAAACCTACACAGAATTTATGCTTTTCAGAGTTTTAGCAAAACATATAACCAAGCATACAATATTACCTACTGTAATTTGTGAAGTGCACTACAGATCAAATCCAATTTTTTATGATGCACAGAGTTTTTAGGATTTAGAGAATTTTAGCAAAATGGATAACAACAATATTTCCAGTAATTCTTTAAATAAATTCTTGATCACATCCTATTTTTTTATGAGTCAAAAACAAGACAATGATCATGCTGATGTAACTTAGAAAAAAACAAAACATCACACTTAGATGTATGCAGACCCTACTCTTAGTCATTTAATGGAATGCTAACCTATTGTGATCCTTACTATAAAAATTAGTTGAGTGAAAAGACACAGCTAAAGAATAACAACTAACTTTTAATTACCAGTCAACTCCCATTGTTGCTTTTGTTGTTGGTAAGTGCTGCTGAGTTGACTTTTGAGTTATAGCAACCCCATGTGACAGAGCAGAACTGCCCCATCGGGTTTCCTAGGCTGTAATACTTATAGGAGCAGATCTCCAGGTCTTTGCTCCCATGGAGCCAGTCACTGGTGGATCTAAACCACCTACTTTTCAGTTAAGCATCCAGGTGCTTAACTGTTGTACGACCTGGACTTAAACTAACTGCCACTGTCTGTGATTAAACTGAGTTTTCTGAAAATGTTTATAAAAAAGACCTAAGTTTAAAGCATTATCTTTCCTGTAAAGACAACAAAACAAGCAAAAAGGAGTCACTAAAATAAGAAGACTTATTTTTTATGATAGTCTAATACTAAAAATAATAACTATTCCTTTAACACTAGTGAAACTGGTTTTACTAAAACCAGGACAACTTTAATGACTACAAAACTATACTGACATTTGCCTTTTTTAATAACCTTCATGCTGACAACTTCCAATTTTCCTAGATACATACTACATATACTCATTTGTGGAATGGATGTGAGTTAAAAATCACAAAAAGTGCACATCCCAGTTGTATCTTTCCACCATACCTACTCAATCTGTACTCTGAGCAAATAATTTGAGATGCTCTACTATATAAAGAAGAATGCAGCATCAGGATTGGAGGAAGGTTTATTAACAACCTATGATATGCAGACCAAACAACTTTGCAAGCTGAAAGTAAAAAGGAATTGAAGCACTTAACTGATGACGATAAAAGAGTATAGCCTTCAGGATTGAATTAAAACTCAATATAATGAAAACAAAAATCCTCACAATTGAACCAATGTGGAACATCATGATAGCTGGGGAAAAGAATGAAGTTGTCAAGAATTTCATTTCCTTTGAAGCCACAATCAACACTCATTAAGCAGCAGTCAAGAAATCAAATGATGCACTGTGATGGACAAATCTGCAGCAAAAGATGTTGTTAATGTGGGAAAAAGCAAAGATGTCACTTTGAGGACTAAGGTGGGCTTGGCCCAAGCTGTGGTATTTTTAACTGCCTCATATGCATGTAAAAGATGGACAAGTAATAATTTAGATTGAAAAAAAATTGATATCTTTCAATTATGGTGTTGGTATAGAGTACTGAATATACCATGGACTGCCAGGAGAATAAACAAATCTGTTCTGGAAGAAGTACAGCCAGAATACTCCTTAGAAGTAAGGATGGCAAGACTTTGTCTACTGTACTTTGGAGAGACCAGGTCCTGGAGAAGGACATCATGCTTGGTAAATGCAGGGTTAGAAAAAAGCGACAAAGACCCTCCAAGAGATGAACTGATACAAGGGCTGAAGCAATGGGCTCAAACATAGGATGCACTGCTAGGGTAGCCCTGGACCAAGCAGTGCTTTCTTCTGGTATACACAGGCTTGCTATGAATCACAATTGACTCAAAGACGAGCTGAAAGAAAATATATGCTACTGGAGATAATGAACATTTTCCTTAGTAAGAAAAATGAATTAAATATGACTATGCAGTAACACAGCTTAACTGTTAGGAGGAAAGTGATCCAAGTGTTTGGAATTGCTTATTTGTAAGTATGTGTGTATAACATGAAAATTTTTACATTAAACGCTAAGTCACACTGTTGTTGGAATTTCTTTGTTTGAAGATATGATGAAACTGGTGAAAGTTAGACCTGGACAGGACAGCCTTGTTTGATCAGGGTTCATAAGTTTTTCACCTTTGGTAGGGTGTAGTCTTATTACTTTTCTGTTTCTCTCTTTAATGAGATATATTTTTAAATTTCCTTCTTAGACAGGTTTCCACCTTACACAGGTTCTGGTTTTCACAGGTTTTACTGTATAAGATAGCAAACTCACTTCCCTATCTATTCCCTACATTAAACACATTTAAGAAAGCATAGCTACCAACACTGTTTTCTTATTTGCTATGTACAAAGCCTTTTCTGCATCAAGGAGTTCATACACAAATGAAATAGATCAGACTTACAACATGTAGTATGATTCCATACAAACCACATTCGGGATTCTTAATATAACCAAAATGCATAACACATTTGGACTTTCTCAGCATTTATCTCAATTGTTTTTGATCCTCAGATCAGTTGTGTGCTCCAACAGAAAATTTAGATATTAGTGTCTAAATATATTGCCAACAGACACAAAAAGAGCAAATTCACTGAACCTCAATAATAAGCAATTTTATCCAAACCCTCCACAACTTCTGCTAGGCTAAATTTCAGTACAGACCTGAACTTGTTTAGCTATCTGATTCGGTTATCTGTTCCCAAGGGGCTGCATTTCCTTCTCTGCCATTGCTAGAAGCGATCACCTGATGTCAGCAGAGATGCACACAGAAATGCACATTGACAAAAACGCATATTCTATGTACTGTCTGGACAAAGAGCCTTTGCTGTCATGTAGACTGATAGGGTAAATAGTAACGTCTAATGCCTAAGTGTGCTGGTTCAGTAAGAAGACCAGGAGAGTTGAGCTGGATGAGAAACTAGAGATCAATCTAATTTTCTTACTTAACAAATAAGAACAATCAAGAGCAGATCCACTTTCAACCTGACTTCATCCAAGTCAGCGGTAAAAAATGAATTAATACTAACTACATCTCAGGAGCCTGACGATCAGGTATTGGGGACTGAAAATGCGATGCAAAGATTTTCTTTGTTGTACAGAACTACAACGCCTGGTGTGGCAATGTGGGTTAATGCTCTGGACTGCAAGGTTGGTTTGAACCACAAGTTCAGCAGTTCAAGTTCACCAGCCACTCCTCGGAAACGCTATACAGGGTCACTATGAGTCAGAACTGACTCAACGACACTTGGCTACAATGTCACAGGACCCTGGATATCAGGTGTTGGGGACTGAAGGGCATGCAAAGATTTTCTTTGATGTATAGAATTACATTACATCATTAATCCCTTTTTTTAATTACTAAACTAAATAATTGTACTTACCTGGATTATATAAGCTCAAAAGACAGACACCATATACTTCTACATCAAACAATAAAATGAATCTTTTTAAGAAAGACTGAGAGACCAATATCTATGGAGTACTCATTATATTCAGGAGTCCTGGTGTAGTGCTGTGGGTTAATGCGGTGGGTTAATGCAAAGCCATTTGAACTGCAAGGTTGGCGGCTCAAGCTCACCAGATGCTCCTTGGAAAACCTATACAGGGTCACTATGGGTCGTAATGACTGATAGCACTTAATGACAACAGCAACATTATATAAAAAGGAGCCTTGATGGCACAATGGTTAAGTGTTCGGCTTCTTTAAACCCACCAGTAGCTTCACCATAGGAAGAGGTGGCAGTTTGCTTCTGTAAAGATTACAGCCTTAGAAACCTTATGGGAGAGTTTTCTACTCTGTTCTATAGGGTCACTGTGCATTGGAATCAACTCGGCTGCACATAACACTGTCTCAATTTGAAACAAAAATTTCACAAGTCCGTGTAATGTTAAAGTTGATTGTTCTTTCCCACGAGTCAATCAGTAACTGTCAGACTCAAGAACTCCAATATTTGGCAAACACATCCATGTTCATCCTCCTACCTCCCAGAAGTCAATCTGTTTTGTGCTTCAATTTTCTCACCTGTTAAATGGGAGAGATCTCTAAGAGCTGTTATAAGAATTAAATAAGGTAAAAGAGTTACTTAATACAGTAAAACTAGCATGATTTATTGATTTTGTTTATGTATCTTTGAAACTAATAAGATTTTAAATGTTTAAAAAAATTAAACATTTAATGTTCAATTAAAATTCAAATGTTTAATTCCCATCTTACGAGTATTGGTGGCTAGGCAGTAAGAAGACCAGGATAACCACCAGGTCAGCAGTTCAAGTCCACCAACTCCTCCTCCAAAGAAAGAGGAGGCTTTCTGCTCTCATAAAGATGTATAGCCTTGAAAAGCATATGGAGGGATGCTATGAGCTGGAATCGACTTGATGGCAGTGGCTGCTTGGGTTAGCAGACTACTTTGATTAAGTGCTCTGCTGTTACCCAACAGGTCAGTGGTTAGAATCCACCAGCTGCTCCACGGGGGAGATACCCTCCATTCTGATTCTATAATTAGTACAGCCCTGGTAAGCCTATAGGGCAGTTCTATATTGTCCTATGAGGTTGCTATTTGTAAGAAATTACTTGAAAATGGGCTTGGTATGTTTTTGTGTGTATGTGTGTGGACTTTTTTGTTGCTGTTTGTTTGTTTAGCAAAATTTCTGTGACCTTCTAGGGTATCTTCTTAGATTCCCGCCTGTCTTTTTTTGTTTTTGTTTTTTAAGGTTTTTATTGTGGATTGAGCGAAAGTTTACACGGCGGCAGATCATCAGTTTTATAGTCAACAAATCATACA